CCTGGATACTTTAAAATGCACTCCTTTTAAGATTTCTAAGGTTTTTGCTGTTGTTTTGTTGTGGTGTTGAGAATCAAACCCAGGGCCTCATACAGAATCTACCCCTGAGCTCCACCCCCACTCCATGCTTGCTGAGGTGTAAATGCGAGGCGGCCAAGATTCCATTTGAGGCTCTTAGCTCTAGGTAGGCTGTGTCTATCAGGATTCAAGTTGCTGAGGATAACAGAAGATCCAGTTCCAGATAATCATACCCTTCCCAGGAAAATCTCAAGCAATATGCATTATCAGGGCCGGGGATTTGGCTCAGTGGTTCCACTGCCTGCCTTGCAAGCGCAAGGGCCCAAGTTCGATCCCCAGTACCCAAAAAAAAAAAAAAAAAAAAGCATTATCAGAGAAAGGAATGAGGGGTCAAAATGAATTACAGGAGGGAGGAGAAGCAAAGGGAAACCTTTAAAAGGCCTGCCCACTGCAGGCATAAAGAAACAGTCCAGCAGCCAAACTTAAACTACATACTATAACTTCATAGTTTGCGGGAAAAATATGCGAGGACATACAGGCAGGGATGACTTCACCAGAAAGAAAATCCAGATGAAGTTGATTTCTCCCAACCCACCTGGAAAAGTTGCTCGGGCTGTGCTGAACACCAGGCAAACATTTCTGTACTTTAGAATAATGCTCTTTTTTATAATAAAAGGTCACAACAGTGCAAATGTTTGCAGGTTCATTTTCAAGATAGCTATCAATTTAGAAGAATATTAACATATATTGGACATATCAATTTCCTTCTTTGTATCCATCCATACTGTGTGTGTGGATATTTGGGGCCTGTGTTAGCCAGGGCAAGAGAAGCATATCTATCTGTCTGTCTGCTCTAGAAGCCAAAAACACTAGAAGGATTCCTTCGACAACTGATTGCTTGTACATTCCCCATAGAACAGACAAAACAGCTGTGCCTTTAAAACAGTATGCCTTGAGCACTGGACATGGGCCATGGCAGGGAGTATCTTTAGTGCGGAAGGTTTACTTGAAGACACAGACTTCCTGCCAAAGGTTAAACACAGATGCACTGAGGTTTGATGCACCTTCTTCTATATCCATGCCAAATGGCTGATGTGCTGCTTGGAACCCCTATTCCTTCAAGGGTCATCACTTCAATTCTAAGTGTTAAAGGAAAAACAGAAAGGCTTTTCTTTGAAATATCGCTTCAATGCAATTAAACACATGGAAGCAAAGCAAGGTTGTGAAAAAAACTTTTCCGACTTCATTTTTAAAGGGAACTGAGACCCACTGAAAATTGGTGAGGTTTTTTTCTTCTTTTTTTCTACAAGTCAACTACCTGCTTTATTGATTCCTGATTTTGATAAGTAGTACAGTTTATGGCCTTTACAAATGCCTTTATTTATTTATTATTTTCTTTTTTTTTAGGTTTTTTTTTTTTGGTACCGGGGATCGAACTCAGGTCCTTGTGCTTGCAAGGCAGGCGCCAGAACCACTCAGCCAAATCCCCGGCCCATAAATGCCTTTAAAAGTTTTTAAACATATAGCCCCATGCTCTGATAGTGATGAAATGAAAGCAAATCCTCAATTAAACACTCAAGTATCATATTTATTATGTGATTTCCAACTTTTATTCCCTGAATAGGTCTAATGCAGATATAAGAAACCTAGGAATCATTTTCCTTTATGATTTCTGCCAAACACCTTTTCTGTTCCAACTCAGACACCTTAAACTATGACTGGAAATCTGCATTTATGCTTCAGAAACTATTAAGACCCCCACAATTCATATGAAAATCTTAAATGATTTGCATTTTTCTAGGAAAAATTCACTTTTAATATTAAAAGGTTCTGAGACACATCAAGAGCCATCCCCAATTATTTGAATTGCCACCTAAAAACCTATATTCTATCATATGATTTCTTTTTTTTTTTTTCCTACCATATGATCTCTGATGTTCCTAGCAGCCTCCTGCTTTCTAGAAGAGCGAAAATAACCCCAGGCAACCCACAGTCCCATTCAGTGGTGACAAGTCATGGTGGAGACTCACAGCACAGTCTAAGTCCTGGTCTCAACTTAGATCCTCTTAACTTCAGATTTCATCTACAGCTACAGACTTAATACTTTTCATATTTTCTCTTAGGGTTTTTTTGTAAATACCTATTTAAATGAAAGCAAAGGTTAAATACACTCTCAACTGAGATCTAAGTTGACTGCATAGTGCTAAACATTGAGAAACCAGTGTCTACTCTACTAACTCTTCATGTGGGAAGTTCAAAAGGTCTGAATCTAAAACATCTGAGAAGGGTTCACCAATACACCCAACAGCCAACTCTACCCTCAGCTTCCTTGCTCTGACAGCATCTCCCCTTAGGAAGTGCAAACCTTCAGGGACCTACCTTTAACATAAAAAAAGCACAATGTCTTCAGGCTTCCTCATCGTGTCCCAGGTCAGGAAGATGGAGTTGCAGTGGTAAAAGAAGCTTAGCTTTCCCCTTTCATTTTCTTTTTCCTCCCTTCCTTTCTTTTACCTTCTTTTCTTCCTTTTATTACTTCCTTCCCTTTTGTTAGCACTAGAGTTTGAATCCTGGGCCTTTTCATTGAGCTTTATCTCTAGCCCCTTCCTCCCTTCCTCCCTTTCTCTCTTTCTTTCTACCAGGGATCGAACTCAGGACCTTGTGCTTGCAAGGCAGGCAGCAGCACCACTGAACTAAATCCTCAGCACTCCCTTTTCATTTTTTTAAGGCAGGGCCTTGCAAGTCACTAAATTACCCAGGCTGAACTCAAAATTGTGATTCTCCTGCCTCAGCCTCCCAGAGTGCTGGGATTAAAGGCATATGCGACCAGTCCCAGCAGTCTTTATTTTATTTCTCATTTTATTTCCCACTGCTCAAAATAAGATATAAAAATCACTTGAGAAATGAAGAGAAAAATCAAGTTGCTGATCAAATTCAATTGCAATCATTACACCGCTGATTCCTGACAACCTATGAACAGCAAGACAAACCCTGGCAACAAAAACTAAGACACAGAGAAACTGGATGGACCAAGTGTTTTGTTCCTATCTGCACTGAGTTATTTCCATGGAAACAGCTACAGTTTGTGAACAGTTCTGGAACAAGTGCTCTAAGGTTAAAAATAAGGAGCTATCTGCGTCATTAGGATTGCTTCAAGAAGACTTGCAATTCCAACTACATTTTTTAAAAATTCTGAAATTTTTATCCGATCCCCAGTACCGAAAATTTTTTCTAAAATTTTTAAACCAGTAACACGAAAATAATTCCTATCATAAGATCCAAGGGATGCTCCTGAAGGGAAAGGCAGAAGCAGTCCTTTTGGTACAATTTCACATGACCCGGCATTGAAAATACAAAACTGGCCACCACGATAGTCTGAGTTTGATCAGAGAATTCTCTAGACATCACTCTACCATTTGAAATTATGAGTTCAAATTCCACAAATTTTCTCTAACTCTGAATACATATGAAATCTCCACATTGTGCAGATCATTTTGTACCTCTTACAGACAATTTCAAATCTAGATATTCAAGAAAAGACTTCTGCAAAATGCATAAAGGCATAAACTTCTCCCCCTTGTAGAACTGGCAAAATACAGGTGGTCCTAGTGGGCAGACATCATGGTTATTTTTACGGGTCAGTTTGACTGAACTAAGGGATGCAGGGCGGTGATGTGTGGGTGTATCTGAAGATGGTTCTGGAAGAAATCAGCATTTCAATCAGAAGACTGAGTAAAGAAGAACAGCCCTCACCAATGTGGGTGGGAGTCATCTAGTCCACTAATTGGAACCAAAGAGGAAGAGCAAAATGTGCTGTTTTTGACCTGAGACATCACTTTTCTGCCTTCAGACATCTGAACTCCTACTCCTTGGGCCTTTGGACTCTGGGTCTTATACCACCACCACCACCACCCAACACTGGCACCCGCTCCCAGACTTGGACTGAATTACATTACTGGATTTCCTGGGTCTCCTCCAGCTTACAGGTGGCAAATGGCAAGACTTCCTGCCTCCAAAATTACATAAGTCAATTCCTGTATTCAACTCTCCCCTCCTCTGGTTCTATTTCTCTGGAGAACCCTGACTAATACAGTAGGGAAGCTAAACTTTGCAGAGTGGAATGATTTAAAAAATGAGAGGCAGGAGGCTGACATCCCAGGATGAGGTGGCAGAAGGTTAAGTGATTTGTGATGTTAAAGTGATGGCAGTCCACCTGGGTAAGAGCACATGATGCTCACTAGACTCAGGCTGAACGATCAGAGAAGGACACGCTATGCTTTGCATTCTTTCTAATGCTTCAGTGGGTGAGCAGGAGTACATGATGTTCCTCTGTAATGGACACCCCTCCTCCAGTGATGCTCACAGAGATATCAGGGATATGCTACGTGATAAGCCTGTGGACAGGACTTGAAGCTATTATGCTTTGACTGTGGTGCTTATCACCTGGGTCCTGGAATGTTCACATCTTTTCTAGATGTAGTTCTTGCCAGAGAACTGCTTGCTACCACTTTCTTCCCATGTCTGCACTGTTGTAGCCATGTGCTTTATTTAGAGGGAGTCTATAAAGATGCTCAAAAAGAGAGATGTTGGTAAAATTGCTATTCTCCTTGGGATGTGACCTGATGACATTAACTGTCCCTATATTTTACCATGCCTGCTGGGAATGTAAGGCTGTCCTGACAACAGCATGAGGTGTACTGGACCCAGTACCTTGCTAGTACACTGGGGGTGATTGTAGGCAGAATAGACTGACTCCAAGGGGACTTGTGAGGTGCATTGCCACCACCACTTCAGGGGACTAGATTCTAGAGGGGCTACGATGACTGAACTGTCATTTCCTGCTTGAGGCCTTCACAGGAATATTTCAAGGATGGTTTTAGGAAGCTTAAAGTCCATTGAAAGTAACAAACCATGATATCAAAATCAAGATCCACCATCTAAATTGTGCTCATCTACAATATCGACTCCCGGAAATATTCTTGAGGTCAGCTTCTTCTGTTCAATCTAGGGAGAGCAACACCTCAGTGGCCATTTTTCCTGGGCTAAGACAATTTAAGAAAGGATATAAGAGGGGCTGTCTTAGGACTGCCAAACTTTATGAAAATCTGCCATTGCTGCCCTGTGCTCTGTGAACCAGGGATACCTTGGGGCAGAGGTCTACTAGGCCACAGCTTGATGTCACTGTTTTCCTCCTAGCATCCTTTGCTAGCTGCTTGTCCTCTCCTGCCAGACCTTAAAGGTAAGTTTTTCCAAAATTTATTTCCTCTTCCTTTTCCCTCTCACACACAGCCATTCTCGTTTGGACTTTTTACTGTACCCACTGACCAATCTCATTTTGACCAGGCCTCTTATTTGTCTTCCTCACTTTCTGGAATGCCGGGCTGGGTAAGTCCTTGTCATGGGGGCTGCCCTGTGTAACACAGGATGCTGAGCAGCATCTCTGGTCTCTGATTCCCCCCTGATGCCCCTAGTACCTACCCCAGAGCTGGGACAACTAAACATGTCTCTGGACATTGCCAAAGTCCCCTGAGGGTTAAAGTACTCACTTTTCATGTCAAGAAGCACTGAACTATTGGGAAAAGGACAGGCAGCACCCTTGCAAGCCAACGCTGGCTGACTCTAAACCACATGGGTGAGTCTTAAATGTTCCAGAGTAGCCAGAAAGCCAATTCTGAGGAACTACTATGGTTGAAAAGCTGGGGCCAGAATCCACCTCTAACTTTAGTGCATTTCCTAAAAAGCTTCTAGGATCTAGGAATAATATTTTATTCAAAAGTAATGGTGAAATGCAGTGACTTCCCTCCAAATATTTTTAAATACTCAACTTTTCACCCAAAATGTATTATCCCAACATTTAGAAGGTTACTTGCTCACTGTGTTACTGACACCATTTCTAGAAAACAAAGAAATCGCTTGCTACGGTTGGTAAATGTCACAACACACAAAACAATTATAGTCCTAAGTGTGGCAGTGCTGTTTTCTGTGTTTAATTCAGCACAGCAGATTCCAGCACCCACACTTTGAAGTTCTACCAAGAAACAGGCCCGAGCAAGCAGAGGACAGTCAGAAGCTGAACAGAAGGAATGCACGAGAAATGAAGAATGTGGTCATGGAAGGAACCAGTAATGGTCAGTGAACTTGGCGGCATTCTGTGGGGAGATGTAAAGCCCACCATGAGTCCACCCTGAAAAGCCAGGAAGAGTTGGGTGGATGCCTCCTAGCACACAGAAGGCCTGTGGCAGTTGCAGTTGGCTTTGTGGCAGAGAGTAAAATGGTTCACTTTTGTTTCTACTTTTATACATTTCCTAAAGCCAACAGAGTGGATTCAAGACACGCTGGACCACAGAATATACTGAGTATATTATGCTTATCTTAGAAAGGACTCCTTCAACCCACCAGTATTCTGTTCTTTTTTCTCCTCAAGATAGTTGGATCATAGTTCATACACGACTACGGAAACTTTATAAAAGCTATGCCACAAACTTTTCTGAGGCATACATTGTGAAATGATTTGGTTTGAAGGCTTTCTAGAAGGCACCATAAACATAAAGTCTCTAAAAGAGGACATGAAAGCTGGGGCAGGGTTAGAATGTTGAAAATGGGTGCACTGAGCACCCAAGGAAAAATGTGCTACATAAAAATACTGTGCCAGCAAGGATTCTGGAAACCCCTTGGAGTGATCTGGTGAAGACGGGAGGGAGGGAGGTGGCAAAGAGAAACCTAGTGCACAAACCCAACCAAATCTCAGTTTGCTGAAGGCAGAGGAGTCACACTGCAGGTCGATATAAATGATGTCACTTTTCTCCAAACAAAAGTAAATCAGTGTGAAAAACTATAATAGTACATAAGATCCTAATGAGATAATTGACAATGTGAAATAGGAAGAAAAGGGCTAAAGGTGTAGGGAAAGTAGGAAAGGTAATAAGGGAAAAGAAAATAATATGAGAAAATTAAAAAATGGAAATAAAGTGTTTGTAAATGGGGAGGGTAGGAGGGAGTGAAGGGAGGGCAGGGACAAGGGGAAAAAATGAGAACCAAGACCTGTCATGTAAAGGTACAAGATCCCAATGATGAATGTAACTGTACTGTACACCTAAAACGTACCAATAAACTCAATGAGAAAAAAAAAACATTAAATCAAGAATGTACTGCTAGCACCAACAGACCCAAAACAGACTAAAACAGCTTTTAGACCAAGATGTGTGGCTCTACAACTGACCTGTGGCATTAGAAGCCACATATACAGAGACAGAACAGTTTTGCTTCTGCTGGTCTGAGGGCCTGATAAATTGATTGGGGAGGAAGGGAGGGGAGGTCCTAAACCACTTGGTCTGACACAGAAAGTTGGAAAGATCTTCACCCATACTGAATCACATCTTTAAAACTGTCTGCAATGTTGATAATTTCACATTCAGATGGGCACTTAAGTTTGCTACGTGTAGTAAGAAGCTACTTCAAATGAAGATCGTTTATTTTATATTCCATCAGATATTATTCTGCAGTAATATATGGACAATCACACATTGGAGCTATGCTGAACCTTTTTTTATGAGACAAACAGCAGAAGGCAAGATCGAAAAAATATGCTTCTTACCTCTTTCGGGCTTCTTCATACTGCCAGTTAAGTCTGACTCGGTCTACAAGTCTTGTTTTGTCATCAAAGACAAACTTTCCAGAGCACAAGAAAAAAAGAAGGGAAACACATATTGAGAATATTTTCAAAAATATAAAATCCATTTAAATTTTCAGCAACAATGAAGAATATTCTTTTGTCTTTCAATTTCAATGTTTCAAAGGCCTAGAAAGAAATACTCCATACAATACTGTGCCACCCACTCTGGGTGGGAGGGTTGTGAATCAGGTTGGGAAGATCTTTGCTTTCCTAAAGTTGGTGTGGGTTTTTTGGTTTGGTGTTTTGATTTTTAAACAGGGGAAGTGGATTCATCTACTGTATACTGTAATTCCAACAACGACAACAAATTAACTTTTAAAAGAAACAGGAAATTACTTAGTATAAGTTGAAACAAAGGCAAAAAAATTCATCTCATTTAATGCAGTATGCTCTCTAATTCTCTGATAGATCCAAAATATAGCCTATCTGTGAGTCCCACAGTTGTAGATCCAAAGCATAGTTAGGCCCACAGTGGTTGTGTCTGTACTGAATATGGACAGACTTTTTTTCGTGTCATTCTTCCCTAAACTATACAACAATGATTTGCATAGCATTAGGTATTATAAATAATCAAAAGATAATCTGAAGTCTACAGATGAAGTATGTAGGCTACGTGCAAATATACACCATTTTATGTAAGGAACTTAAGCCTCCAGGAATTCCAGTGTTTGAGGGGGTCCAGAATTAATACCCAGCACATGCGGAGGGATGACTGCAATTAACTTCTGCTTTTATTTGGTAACAAATCAGTTTCAAAATTCACTCTATTGCATTATTAATTATAATAGTATGTCTCTGACTTCACTACCTGGCTTCAAAATGATGATTCTCCTAACTCTACTTTGTGGCTAACTCAAGCCTTCACTAGTTATCAAAAGAGGCATAATGAAATTCTTCTAAGCATCAGCGTTGCTTTTAATTCAATTTCCTGACATTCTTTTGGAAGAATAAGAATAGCTGGATATGAGAAACAGTATTTCTTTTTCTTCCAACTGAATGGCACAAAAGCCAAAATACATGTTTCGGAAGTGAAAATGGAAAACTCAACTGAACGAGTGAAGGTCACACACCACTACCAACTCTTGCCCGTCTGAGGGCACAGTGGTGCACATACCTCCCCTATGGCCTCAGTCTGGGAGCCGGCATCGCAGAAGTGCTGTGTTGCCCCGGAATCACCAAGTACACCAGCATTGGAAGGTAAATCAGGGAGGAAGTCACCAAGGGAGCAGCTATTCTTGAAGCTATCCGTAAGCTTGGCCAGGCTCTGCAAGAGGAGACAAGCTCTTTGAATACAAATGGCAATGTTTCCCATACCTTCTGGTTTGAGATCTGTAGCTTTTAGACTGGAGACCTATCCCGTACACGCACACACACACACACACACATTTCCCATCCTCATTACATTTAAAATAAATGAACTATACTGCATACACCTTAAATAAAATTCTTATTTAAATCAGATAGCAATTAAGTCCTCTTGGTAGCACATGAATAAAACCAATAACAGTTATGGTATCACTTTTACTGTTTTTTTAACCTTCATGTTTTTAAAGAAAAAAATGTACATTCCTATCTAAAATGCTCAGTTTGTAAATGAGTCGGAGAGAGATGCATAACTCTGTGGGACTTTTATATAAAAACTACGGAAGATGAAACCAGCTACCACCAAGACCTTGTCTCAAAATATAAAATAAAAAGGGCTTGGGGACATACCTCAGTGCAAAGGCCCTGGGTTCAATCCCTAGCACCAAAAATAAAGAAAACAACACCACAGAAAGAAAGCAGCTACTAGATGATGCTTACGTTATTTTTAATTACCTGAATTTTCAGTCATAATTATATGTGGTTGAGCAAAAAATTCTACAAAGTAACCTCATGTTGTTATTTTGCCAAAAATTTAGAATAAGTATGTATTCTGGCACATGGAATCCCTTCGTGTAGAAATTTAACAGAAATCTGAGTTTTTAGCATTTCTTTCAGACTTCTTTTTGTTTGTTTGTTTTGTTTTTTGTTTTTTGGTACCAGGGATCAAACTCAGGACCTTGCACTTGCGAGACAGGCAGCGGTACTATTGAGCTAAATCCCCAGCCCTCTTTCAGACTTCTGAACCTGTTCACCTTCAGCATCACTACAGACACCAGATCAGGGATGTACATAACTGGCTTGAAATTGAGACAAAGGCCTCTTGGAAGGGAAGTTCATATGAGGAAGACAAAACAATTGATTTTGATGGGCAAGGACTTTCCCCATGCCTCTCCCTGAAGCTTCTCATAGCTGGAGTTGTAGAGGCCTCACAGAAGATACTAAGGACTAAAACTTCTCCAGAAATCATCTCTCCTACCTCTGTGATTAGGGAATCCAAGTGAGGCAATGAGGTGGCTTCCTCCAGGGATGGCTTCACAGGGGCCAGAGTGAGGAGTTCCATTTGACCTCCTGGGGCACGTACTCCTTGTCTCTGCCACTGAAAGCCACCTGCTTCATCTAAAAATACAGATTTCTAGGCCTTACCTCCAGAAATTCTAACTTAGTAGGTCTAGGATGAAATCTGATAAACTGCATTTTAAGGAGCACCATGGAAACTCTCCACAAGTCCCGCATGGCCTTATGGATCTTAGGAAGCACTGTCAAGCAAAGTAGTTATTTGTGCATCTAGTCTCATTTTTGCCTTTAAGTCCAAGCTTTACTTCATATGTCCTCTGAGACTTACTACAGAATCTAGACAAATGCCTACTAGGTGTTCCCTTAGAGTATCAAGCAAGAAGTAAGTACCATAAGAGAAAGCAATGAACACATGCCAACATCAAACAGAAAGACCAGTTCGAATGTATCCACATGGTAAAAAACCATATCAAAGAATAAAGAAACTCTTTGGGAACAGATAATGGCAAAGCTATAGGATTTTATTGTCACACGAGGAAGCTATAGCAGAACAGTAGCCTAAGCCTAGCTTTATGCAAAGGCCTCTGAGTGTACATTCACATTTTTTGCATCTGCATAAACACTGGGAGGGTATGCAAGAAAGGAATAAAAGTACTTGTGGGAGGTGGGAGGATGGAGTCAGGGCAAGGATTCTTACCATACACCTTTTGAATCATTTTGATTATTAACAACATGAATTTTTTATCACCCACGGTTATGGGTTGAGTTGTGCCCCCACCAGAAGATATGTTCAAGTCCTGACCCCTGGAATCTGTGAATGTAGCCTTATTTGGAAATCAAGTCTTCACAGCTGCAATCTAGTTAGTGAGGTCATATTGGATAGGTGGGCACTAATCCAATGCCTGGTGCCCTGATGGGAAGAGGAAATGTGGAAACAGAACCAGAGAGAAGGCTCTATGACAAGAGGCAGAGATTGGAGTGATGTGTCTACGTGCCAAGGAAGACCAAGAACACCTGGGGCTACAGAAGCTAAGAGGCTTGGAAGAAACCACACCACCACCGCCACCAGTAGCAGCCTTCCCTGAACGTTCACAGGGAGGGCAGTCTGGCCAACATCCAGATTTTAGATTTCTGCCCTCCAGAACTGGGAGAATAAATTGCTATTGTTCAGAGTCACTCGGTTTGTGGTACTTTGTTATAGTAGCCCCAGGAAATTAATACATTTATTTAAACACAGTATGTGTCTAGCACAAAAATACATAATATTATAAGTTAAGTTTTATAGACAATCAGCTAGGCTAACAGGCAGGTGGGTGGATGAGGAATAAGACCTCACCTGCATCAGGTCCCGCCGCTCCTTCTCGCCTGTACAGATGGCTTTCTTGATGGTCCGGAGCTCATTCATTATAGCCTGTGCCTCATCTAGTTTGTAGTTGGTATGAGCACTTGACATCTTCCTATCAATCCTGGTTAAAAAAGAAGTTAAGAGTCACTTCACAAGACAACATTTCTTTAAACAACCACCACTGAAACCCACATGCTTCACAGGAAGGTAGGAAAGAGTTAAAAGCAATGTTCTGGGACAGAAAAGTGGAAACCCTCACAAAATCTTCATTTCTTATGGTAAATAAAAAAACCCTGAGACCTGGCTGATAGACACTGCCCTCACAGAGGAGCACCCTCTGCACTAGAGGATGGCTGTGTCCTCTATGTGAAGCTGCTGACGAGATCACTGGCTGGAGTAATACAGAGACCACACTCCCTTGCTGGAGGATCAAATGTTCTTTTAATCCCAGCATCATTCGGGTTAGTGGTCAACAATGTTTATGAAATGAACCTATGAATGAAATCTGTGTGCGTGCCAGCAGAGTGTATGGGAAATAGCAGGAAGTGGTAAGCTTTCAATAATGGCACCTTGTGCAAAAGCTAGAAATGCTTATGTCTCCTCTGTCCCCAACCCACCTCCTCAATCCTTTCCTTCAATCCAAACATCCAACATCCAAGCTTGCTTCCTTTCTTGCCTTCTTCCCTACCTTCCTCCATCCCTCCTTCCCTCCAGCCAACCCACGTACACACAGGCCTGGCTCCAGGCCTTGTGGAAGCAGAGCACCAAACAAGACAAGATTTGTCCCCGCCTTCAAAGAGCAGGTAGCCTCAGGAGCACATCCTTTGTCACATCTCCCATACCTAAGTCCCAGGCCTTGGAAACCCTTAGGGCTGAGGAACTTGGGAGACTAGTCCAAAAATGGAATTAATTCCTTCCCCAGGAAGCAACTAGCTTGCTTTTCAGGTTCCAGACCCACCATTACACAGATTCTGATTATAATATGTTGCCTGCATGTTATCCTGAAGATCTGGATCTTCAACTGATAGCCCAAACTGCCTTGTTTTCCACTCATACAAGCCTGTTAGCATACTGTGAGAAGCAGTGGCATTCCAGTCCTGTGGAATGCCCTAGGCCAGGCACTTCACTTCTTTCAATCTCTTTCCTTGTCTCTCAAATTGGGACACTAAAATTACTTCTCCAATAGTAGGGGCATGAGACTGAAGAAGAAAATGCAAGGGGAGACATGTAATGTTTGCGATGTTATTACCAGGATTATGCAGAATCTACTTACTCATGAGAGAAAAAAACAAGCTGCCAGCTCTAGTACCTTACTATTGTTAATAAATTCCTTGCCACATGTGTCACAAATCACAGCAAAGCTCAGCACCTGAGTTGACCTGAGCATTTTTGAACAGGAAAAAGACAAATACTGCCCCCTGGCTGGAATAGGGCTCTAGGGCCCGAGGGTACTGTGATGACTGCCATCAACTAAAATAAAATGTTTATGAAGACTGATCCTAAGTCCTACCTCTGAGAGTAGATGCAGGTACACTGTAGGGCCCCACACATTGAATGGCGTCATACTTGAATCTCAGAATGACCATGGGCACTTCCATAATGGAGCAGTTAAAGATTTATACGTTTCTCCAACACACTTTGCCTATCTGTATCCACAAACAAAATTATATATAGTACCATTTTATAAGAGGATACGTGTACTTTTAACTATTGTATTGTATTTCATGTGGAATGTTGAAATAAATGAGCAGTAACTCAAGTTTGGGCCATGATTCTCCTTTTTTTCCTTGCTCTCTGTAAATCCCTACTCTGGCTCCTTTACAAGTGATTGAAGTGGTTAGCTTTAACTCTCTAACACCTTGAGGGTCATCATGAGTTTTATCAATAAAATGTAATAAGTTCCCAGCACAGTATCAGCTAGCTGTTTGGTGTCTATTAAATTTGGAAGCCAACAAAAATAACAGTGGGCATATAAGCCCCTTGTACATTTTCAAAACACTTTTGTCTGTCTCTCAAAACGAGTCACACTTCTACCACAATGGCTGGCTTTCTCACTCACTGCAGGGACCTTACCCAGACCAATAAGCCAAACGGGACATTCGCTAATATTCCACCTGTACTTTATCACCTGTGACAACTTCACAACAAAAGTCAGCGTCATTCTGACACTCTGCACAAGCAGCTCTATGTGGCTAAAGGGTGTGAGAAAAAGGGAGTGGGAACAACATGGGGAGTCACCAGGCCAACCTCAGACTCCTGGGGCCCTGTAGTAGGTGAGCTTCTACCAGGTGGAACTGGGAATTTTTTTGGTCCAACAATCAGCTCCTAGAGCAATGTTGAAACAATCTCTTCTTACAATAATTATTATTTGCTGACAGGTATTTTATTATAGTTATTATTGAATCAAACACCATAGTCTCTACACTTGTAAATACCGAGTGATTTTACCGCAAAAAGAAGTCTATGAAACATGCTGTCATGAAATTACTGAAGGATAAAGCTACACTAAAAGCAGAGGTGGAGTTCTTTGGCTCTACATTTAGTTCAGGAGCTCGAGTTGGGGGTGAAGTCCCCTGGGGAGCACTGTTCACCTTGGGCTGGCGGCATGGCTTGGCGGTAGAGCAACTGCTTAGCATGTGTGAGGCTCTGGGTTCCACCCCTAGCATCCCATCCCCCCCAAAAAACATGTCTTTTGAGAGCCATTCATCTTACAGGGATCACAGAGACACCAACATATATTACGTAGGAAAACATAAAACCAGGGAAAAACCCATTTGTGTTTCCATTTTAGATGTTCCAGGGAAAATGAAGAGTCTAACAGAAAGCAGAAATAAAAGCCCATACATCTTAAAGCACTAGCTGTGCCCAAGACACCACCAAACTGTTCTTGCAGGAAAAAAAAAAAAAATCTAGGTTTATTTGCATAACAATGTCGTATATTCTCTTTTGATAAAGGGCTTTCCAATACACCATTTTTAATGTCATGAGCCACAACCCACCTAAGATGTTGAAATCTGTTGAAAAGGTTTATGTCGGCGCCAGGCGTGGTGGCGCACGCCTGTAATCCCAGCACTCGGGAGGCTGAGACAGGAAGACTGCTGTGATTTTGAGACCAGCCTGGGCTTCATAGTGAGTTCCAGGTCAGTCTCAACTACATAGTGAGACCCTGTCTCAAAAATCCAAAAAAAAAAAAGAAAAAAGAAAAAAAAAGGTTTATGTCATTCCAGACAAAACCTGAAGCCATAAAAGTCTGATAACTCTTTTAACAATCAATGAGAAACTCAAAGCATAAATAAAGAGCGAAATAAAAGATAAATAATAGGAAATGGAGATATATCTTTTGCAAATGGAAAAAGAACCAAAAGATGGAGGAACTTGGGACCTAGTCTCAGCTCTACCCAAGTGGCTGTAAGACCTTGGAGAAGATGCTGAAGATTGGATCAGGCAGCTGTTTGTCCCTGTCCCAAAGGTTCCCTTAAACAGCGAGCCCCAGCAGCAAAACAGGGAGTCCAGGTTCCACACAGGTTGTCATGCACAGGGAAGAAAAGGGAAAGAGTCTTTCTTAACAGCAACAACAACAAAAGCCATTAGATAATTTGATCTCAAAGCTAGGGACCTCGGAGACACTACCACTTCCAAATAGTTACTTATTACATTACTTTATAAAATATATTATTCTACTGCATAAATATCTAAAAATGGTTCAGTATAGCATCTGTTAGGTGAGAGTCTTGCTGCATGCTTAATGCTCTTCACCACATTCAACTCCCTCAATAGCCTTATGCAGTAAGCATAGTCTTCCTTGTATTTTATAATGAAGTCAAGGTTATAAATGGCCCAATGGCAAGTTAATATTTGACACAGCAGGGATTAAAGCCCACAAACCTCATTCTGAAAATGGCACAGGATCACAGGGCACAGGGATGCCCCTTTCTGCTTGAGTGTGACATCTGTCACCATCTTCAAAATGTTCAACGTGGATCTAAATGGTTCTTTTATAAGGGCAGGTTACATTTCACAGAACTCAAACTGCATCCATTTCTCAAGTGGGGTTTTGTTTTGTTTTACAGTACTGGGGATTGAACTCAGGGCCTTCACCCTAAGCTAGATCTTCAGCGTATTTTTTAGTTTTCTATTTCGGACTGAGTCTTGCCAAGTCATTAAGTTGCCCCAAACAGGATTGGAACCTACAATCCTCCTGCCTCGGCCTCCCAGAGTGCTGGTTTTATAGGCATGCTCCATGACACTTGGTTATCAATTGCAATCCATTATCTAACAAAAACCTGAAAGAGCAGCAGACCTTTCTTCATTTCTACAAAATTCACTTATCTGAGAGTTTTGTGTCTTTTAAAAACATCTTCCAGAGCCCTGGTCAAATTCAGAAAATGTAATTAATGACTTGATAGTTTATAAAATATCTATGTGTCCCATTTCATAAAGTAAATCATAATATCTGTCACTGTCAAAGAACTGTCTTCTTCTGATTTTTCATTTTAATTAAGAGTGCAAGTCAGTGTTTAGACTGTGGCTTACAGATAAAATGCTAGAAAAGTGATAAAGACTTGGGAAGAATAAAAGGCAGTACCAACAAAGACACGTCACACTGTGTCTGTGCACTGTGAAAGAATTCAGCACACTGACCTAGTCTTCACCTTTCCACCCTCTTTACTTTGCACCTGGCCGCTGGGAGGTGAAGTGACTTGCTCAAGGTCCCACAGCCAGTAAGTGATAGAGGTGGGTCCCCAGCCAGTGCCCTCATGCCAGCATTCATCCTATTCAGCACTAGGTTAACAAGAAAAAGTCAAAGGCCCACTGTGTCAAATCTGAAGGCTACCATACAGCCATACAAATGTTATTCCAGGGAAAAGGAGATTCTTTAAGGTTTGTTTGTGAAGGGCCAGTGGGAGAGAAGAGTAAGAGATACAGCTGCAGAAGAGGAACCCTAAGCAGGTGAATGGGCAAGGCATTCCAGAGTTGTTGATTATCAGCCTCTACTGCCGTTATCCTAAGACTTCTATACCATCTGAAGATGTCAAGAGAAGCAAACTAGCGAAAACAAGAGTGCAGCCAAACACTCGCTCAACACCACATCTTGGAGAAAAGGGTTGCCAGGTCTCTAAA